TCTTAAAAGACGAAGGCTTTGCACAGGAGGAACGTCAGTATGCATCCTCTGCCTTGGCTTCCCTTGCTGTGACTAACTGAAAAATGGCCCCTTCCCTCCAAAAAGCAAAAAGGGGGCAGGATCAGGGATCCTAACTATAATTGGCAGGTGGCTTGCCCTATGAATGCAGCCAAAGGAAGCCACCTATCTGCAAAGTCCCTGCAACTTAGGACTATGAACAAACACTCAATGCAAAACACAAAATTGGAGCCCCTGGAACACCCGTTCCAGAACAGCTTCCCCTGTACAAAAGCTTCAACCCTTAAGACTTTCTGGGGGGAAACAGTCTTAAGAGCACCCAAGACCTTCCGGGGGGGAAACAGTCTTAAGAGTCTCCAAAGATTTCCAGGGAAACAGCCCTAAAGACCAAAGAACTCCAGCTGGAGAACATCTAAGCCTTATTATTATTATTATTATTATTATTATTATTATTATTATTATTAAACTTTATTTGTACCCCGCTAGCATCTCCCAAAGGACTCGATGCGGCTTACAAAGGCCAAGGCCTCAACACAACAACAACAGACAATAACAATACAATACAAAGCAAATTAAAAACATAAAAACATAAGCAATAACAAAACATTACACTATTACGCAATAAAATGATCGGTATAGGTTAAAAGTGCTGGGTGTGAGAGGTGATATGTTGGGATTCTGGGCAAGTGCAATGTGCAGAGAGTCTTAAATTCTAATAAAGTGCTTCTAGGATATAGTGCTGGGGGTTATCCTATTCTGAAAAGGCGCATCGGAATAGCCAGGTCTTCAAGTTCTTCCTAAAGACTGCCAATGTGGGTGCCAGTCTAATGACTTTGGGGAGGGTGTTCCAAAGTCGGGGGGCAAGCACAGAGAAGGCCCTGTCCCTCGTCCCCACCAAACGCTTGCGACGCAGGTGGGATCGCGAGCAGGGCCTCTCCGGATGAACGAAGGGAGCGCGTGGGTTCATATACGGAGGTAGGCAGGTCCCAAACTGTTCAGGGCTTTGTAGGTGAGCACCTGCACCTTGAATTGGGTTCGGTAGGTAAACGGCAGCCCGTGGAGCTCCCTAAACAGGAAGGTTGACCTCTCTCTGTAAGGAGCACCAATTAACATCCTGGCCACCGCCCGTTGAACCAGTTGGAATTTCCGAGCCATTTTCAAGGGCAGCCCCACGTAGAGCACATTACAGTAGTCCAATCTAGAGGTGACCAAGGCATGGACCACGCCGGCCAGATCAGCCTTCGCGAGGTACGGTCGCAGCTGGTGCACAAGTCTTAGTTGTGCAAAGAGGAGATTCCATCTGAACATGAGGAAGAACTTCCTGACTGTGAGAGCCGTTCAGCAGTGGAACTCTCTGCCCCGGAGTGTGGTGGAGGCTCCTTCTTTGGAAGCTTTTAAACAGAGGCTGGATGGCCATCTGTCAGGGGTGATTTGAATGCAATATTCCTGCTTCTTGGCAGAATGGGGTTGGATTGGATGGCCCATGAGGTCTCTTCCAACTCTTTGATTCTATGATTCTATGAAAAGCCCTCCCGGACACCGCCGACGCCTGAGCCTCAAGCGTAAGCGATGAATCCAAGAGGACTCCCAAGCTGCGGACCTGTGACTTCAGGGGGAGTGTAATCCCGTCCAACACAGGTAGCCACCCCATACCCCGATCCGGTTTGCAATTGACCAGGAGGACCTCTGTCTTGTTGGGATTGATCTTCAGCTTGTTCTTCCTCATCCAGACAGACACAGCGGCCAGGCACTTGTCCAGCACCTGAGGGGCTTCCTTGGAGTTCAGTGGAAAAGAGTAGTAGAGTTGCGTGTCATCTGCGTAGAGCTGGCACCCAACTCCAAACTCCGGATGACCTCTCCCAGCGGTTTCATGCAGATGTTAAAAAGCATGGGAGATGGAATGGAGCCTTGCGGGACCCCACAGGTCAAGGGCCAGGGGTCCGAGCAGGCCTCTCCCAGCTTCACCATCTGGGAGCGACCCTCCAGGAAGGACCGGAGCCACGACAAAACCGTGCCCCTGAGGCCCATCTCGGAGAGTCGTTCGAGAAGGATACCATGATCGATGGTATCGAAAGCCGCTGAGATGTCCAAGAGAACCAACAGGGTCACACTCCTCCTGCCCAGCTCCCTGTGGAGATCATCCACCAAGGCCGTCTCGATTCATGTAGATTCATGAAGTGAGCCAGGGCAATGAAAGTAGGTTCATTCTACAGCACGCATGAAGAAGGAATTCTAAGCCGTCAGCAACTGTAATGGCCAAACGACAGACAAAGAGGGCACCTTTTGCCGTTGTGCATTCAGTTCAGCAGCAAATCCTTTCTTTGGTTTCAAGGTTTTGAAAATCGAGGTGCACATTAAATTTGAGACTTGAGTCAATACGGGTATATTTACTTACTCAGACCCAAGTCTGTGTGATCCCAGGCCTGGGCAGGAAGGAAGGAAGCGGAGCGGCCGTGGGTTATCTTTTGCTCCCGCAGGATGGCTTCTATGGGTGAAGGAGGAGCAGGAAGCGTCCTTTCCTTTGGGATGGGGCCAGAACAGGAGCCCCCAACCCAAGCCCCCCAAATAACTGAGTAGGCGCCTGACCCTCTCGCCTGCTCAGAGACCAACGACAAGCCCGTCCGTGGGGCAAGAGCTGGAGCAGAAAGGGGCCCAAGCAAGGCCTTTCCCTTTAACCCACCCTTCTCCACCACACACTTCTCCTTCTTCTCCTCCTTCTTCCCGACCTCTTTCTCTGTCTTGCCTTTGCAAACTTCAAAGGGGAACCAGGGCAGGATCCCTCTCTGCGGTTTCCCGGCCAAGCCGCCTGTCCGAGTTGCAGTCCCACATCATATGATCCCTCTTTCATAAAGAAGGGCTTTCTTCTCAGCCTGGTGGGAACTCGATTAAGGAGCAGCTCCAACAAAGTGGCCTTTGATCTCTCCTCCGACTAAGAGCATTACGGTCCTAGGAAGAGAGGGACGGAGCCGGGGCGGAGGGGGAAGTGGCCGATGAGAGAAGGGGCCACCCTCACAGAACCGACTCGCGAGCAGGACGTGGAAAAAGATCTTGGAGTCCTCGTGGACAGCAAGTTAAACATGAGCCAGGAATGTGATGTGGCGGCAAAAAAAGCCAATGGGATTTTGGCCTGCATATAGTGTCTAGATCTAGGGAAGTCATGCTCCCCATGCTCTATTCCGCCTTGGTTAGACCACTTTACCTGGAATATTGTGTCCAATTCTGGGCACCACAATTCAAGAGAGATATTGACAAGCTGGAATGTGTCCAGAGGAGGGCGACTCAAATGATCAAGGGTCTGGAGAACAAGCCCTATGAGGAGCGGCTTAAAGAGCTGGGCATGTTTAGCTTGAATGGTTAGACCGAACCTGGAATATTGTGTCCAATTCTGGGCACCACAATTCAAGAGAGACGTTGACCCTAAGCTGGAATGTGTCCAGAGGAGGGTGACTCAAATGATCAAGGGTCTGGAGAACAAGCCCTATGAGGAGCGGCTTAAGGAGCTGGGCATGTTTAGCTTGAATGGTTAGACCACACCTGGAATATTGTGTCCAATTCTGGGCACCACAATTCAAGAGAGATGTTGACCCTAAGCTGGAATGTGTCCAGAGGAGGGCGACTAAAATGATCAAGGGTCTGGAGAACAAGCCCTATGAGGAGCGGCTTAAGGAGCTGGGCATGTTTAGCCTGAAGAAGAGAAGGCCGAGAGGAGACATGATAGCCATGTATAAATATGTGAGAGGAAGCCACAGGGAGGAGGGAGCAAGCTTGTTTTCTGCTTCCCTGGAGACTAGGACGCAATGGAACAATGGCTTCAAACTACAAGAGAGGAGATTCTATCTGAACATGAGGAAGAACTTCCTGACTGTGAGAGCCGTTCAGCAGTGGAACTCTCTGCCCCGGAGTGTGGTGGAGGCTCCTTCTTTGGAAGCTTTTAAACAGAGGCTGGATGGCCATCTGTCAGGGGTGATTTGAATGCAATATTCCTGCTTCTTGGCAGAATGGGGTTGGACTGGATGATAGCCCAGGAGGTCTCTCCCAACTCTTTGATTGTTAGCCACTTTTTTTGTTTGGAAACTGCCCTGAGTCTCCTTGGGAAATAGGACAGGTTAGATATAAAGTTCATTATTGGGTTGTTGTAGGTTTTTTCGTGCTATATGACCATGGTCTAGAGGCATTCTCTCCTGATGTTTCACCTGCATCTATGGCACGCATCCTCAGAGGTAGTGAGGTGACCTCACTACCTCTGAGGATGTTTGCCATAGATGCAGGCAAAACGTCAGGAGAGAATGCTAGAGGCACTGCCAGGCCATCAAATGCTAATCAAGGTGGTCAGTTGAAACATTCACACCTAGCTCCAGAAGACAAGAGTCCTTTGTCTCACCCTGGTCATTCCACAGATATATAAACCCTTTTTCCTAGTTCCAACAGACCTCACTACCTCTGAGGATGCTTGCCATAGATGCAGGCGAAACGTCAGGAGAGAATGCTAGAGGCACTGCCAGGCCATCAAATGCTAATCCAGGTGATCAGTTGAGACATTCACACTTAGCTCCAGCAGACAAGAGTCCTTTGTCCCATCCTGGTCATTCCACAGATATATAAACCCTTTTTCCTAGTTCCAACAGACCTCACTACCTCTGAGGATGCTTGCCATAGATGCAGGCGAAACGTCAGGAGAGAATGCCTCTAGAACATGGCCATATAGTCCGAAAAAACCTACAACAACCCAGTGATTCCGGCCGTGAAAGCCTTCGACAATACAAAGTTCATTATATTGTTATTTTTAGCACAACCCCCTTCTTGCATGCAGGAAAAGCACAATCAAAGCACCCCCGAGAGATGGTCATCCAGCCTCTGCTTCAAAGCCTCCGCCAGACCCTGAGGCAGAGAGTTCCACTGCTGAACAACTCTTCTTAAGGTCAGGAAGGTCTTCCCAACAGTGAGATGGGATTGTTCCTTCCTTACGGCATACTTTCCCTTACCTGCGGGAGGAAGGAAGGAAGGAAGGACGGATGGACTGAAGGTTGGATCTACAGGAGGAAGATGAAGGGTCGGAGGAAGACAACGGCGGCGATGGGTCTCTGGGTCAGGGTCCGGTCCATCAGCCCTGCTTCTTGGTGGGAGGGGGCCCAGCGGTGGGTCCCAAACCCCAGACCAGGCAGGCAAACAGGCAAGCAGAGAGAAACCCCGAATGACTCTCAGCTGCTTGTCATGTGCTTCTGGCTCTCTTGGTCAAGTGATGGGGAGCTCCTGTGCCAGCCCCAGGGCCCTCCCCTTGCAAGAAGGGGCCTCCCTCTGACCACAGGAAAGAAGGGAGGAAGGAAGGGGAGCAAGAGGAGGAGCACCACCACTGTGGAAACTCAGTCCTGCCTGCGTGCCCACCCCCTGCTCCCTTCCACCTGAGGCCTGTCCAAAGCTGCAGGGCTCCATTGGATGCAAGGCAGAGGTTCCATCCCCAGGACTTGGCTGCCGTTGCTGCTTCGTCACCCCACTTCCTTCTGGTGTTACGGCACCACTTCCTCTTCATCTCCTGCGCTGCTTGCCCAACACAAAGACCCCTTGGCCCTCTCTCTCGCATGCCACAAGCCAAGGAAATAATGTTTGGAAATATTCGAAAATAAAGAGTGGCGAAACTCTATGGCAGTGGTTCTCAACCTTCCTAATGGCGTGACCCCTTACTACAGTCCCCCATGTTGTGGTGACCCCCAACCATAATATTGTTTTCATTGGCTACTTCATAACAGTCATTTTACTACTGTTATAAATCATAATGTAAATATCTGATATGCAGGATGCATTTTCATTCACTGGACCAAACTGGGCACAAATACCCAATACACCCAAATGTGAATGCTAGTGGGGTTGGGGGAGGATTGATTTTGTAATTTGGGAGTTGTAGTTGCTAGGATTTATAGTTCACTTATAATCAAAGAGCATTCCGAACTCCACCAGCGATGGATTTGAACCAAACTTGGCTCCCATGACCAATGGAAAACATTGGAAGGGTTTGATGGGCATTGACCTTGAGTTTGGGAGTTGTAGTTCACCTACATCCAGAGAGCACTGTGGACTCATGCAATGGTGGATCTGGACCAAACTTGGCATGAATACTCAATATGCCTAAATGTGAACACTGGTGGAGTCCAGGGGAAAATAGATCTTGACATTTGGGAGTTGTAGTTGCTGGGATTTATAGTTCATTACAATCAAAGAACATTCTGAACTCCACCAACCATAGAATTGGCTCAAACTTCCCACATGGAATCCCCATACTGTGTTTTCTGATGGTCTTTGGCGACCCCTCTGACACCCCCTCGCGACCCCCTCAGGGGTCCCGACCCCCAGGTTGAGAAACACTGCTCTATGGAGTGGCAGTTTCACAACTACCTGCCTATTTCCAGTCTCCTCTTCCTGGGCAGGGTTTTGGAGCAAGTGGTGGCCACCCAGCTCCAGGGATTCTTGGATGAAACCCATTGTCTTGATCTCTCGTAGCTTGGTCATGGAACGGAGATAGCTTTGGTCACCTTGGTGGATGACCTCTGCAAAGAGCTAATGGTCCTCCTGGATCTCTCAGCGGCTTTCTCTCTCTGAGATGGAACATGGAGGCATTGCGCTGCAAGGTTCTGCTCGTTCCTGGAGGGCCTGACCAAGATGGTCATGCTGGGGATACCGTCTTGTGAAATCAAGAATTTAGGGGTCTTTGCCAGGAGGCAGAGACCAATTAGACTCATCAAAGAGTTCTTTTCCCTGGCGAGACAGAGAGAAGCACCCAATCCCAGATTTTTCCCAATAAAAGGTCTCACCAAGTTGAAGGAAGTGCCACGGAGATGTTTTATTTGCGATTCAGCTGAAAAGGATGCAGAGCAGCAATCAGGTGGCCCCCTGGCTCTGGAAAGCCCTCTCCAGGGAAATGAGACAGGCATCCACCTTCACGGCTTTTAGGAGAGACTTGAAGACCTGGTTATTTAAACAGGCTTTTGACAGTGATTTGTCAACCTCTAGGATATGTTTTTATCTCATTTGGGGTAGCAAGCTCCTTTTAGCTATTTAATCTAATATTCATGTCTATGAAGACGGCTCCTGTGATCTGCTGCCTTCCAAAGCCATCTTCTATGTGCTGAGTCAGGTTCAGCACTTGCGATGTGCAGCTTCTGCCTTTCCTGAAGCCAGCTTGCTGTGGGATCAGACAGGGGTCTATTTTTTCTGTAATTCTATGTGAAATAAACCTCTCCAGAACGTTATAGAGGTGGCACAACAGGGAGATTGCTCTGTAGCTTTTTGGGTCATTACTGCCTTTGCCTGGCTTCAGAATGGCGATGACTCTTTCTTTCCTCCAGATTTTGGGGATCTGACAGGATGCTACTGAAATGTAAATCATATGAATATTGCATTGGTTCTTTTGTATTTTGCAGCTAGATTGGTGCTCAGGGAGCATACAACTCCTCTGTTGCGCCAGCTCCACTGGCTGCCAGTCTGCTACCGGGCATAATTCAAAGTGCTGGCTTTAGCCTATCAAGCCCTAAACGGTTCTGGCCCAATTTACCTGTCCGAATGCAGGTATGAACCAACCCCTTACGAACCATTGAGGACTTTAAGATCGTCCGGGAAGGCCCTGCTCTCGTTCCCGCCTTCATCACAGGTATGCTTGGTGGGAATGAGACAGCGCCTTCTCTGTGGTGGCCCCTCAGCTATGGAACGCCCTCCCTAAGGAGATTAGATCGGCTCCCTCACTTCTAACATTTCGGAGACGAGTTAAGACATGGTTATATGATCAAGCGTTTACTCATGCAGAGCAACTGTTATAGGAAATGGAATCACTTGACAATGGATCTTGAAACAAAATTATTTAACTAGGAGATGCTGATGATGTTGATTTTTCTTGTTTCTATTGAGGTTCTGCAAGGAAGACTCCAGCAATACATGGAGCGAGAGTTGCCAGATGTTCAAGCTGGGTTTAGAAAAGGCAGAGGAACGAAAGACCAGATTGCCAATATCTGGATGCTGGATAATGGAGAAAGGCAGGGAGTTCCAGAAAAACATCTACTTCTGCTTCATTGACTATTCTAAAGCCTTTGACTGTGTGGATCATCATAAATTGTGGCAAGTTCTTAGTGGGATGGGCATCCCAAGCCCCCTTCCCTCTCTCCTGAGGAATCTGTACAAGGACCAAGGAGCCACAGTCAGAACTGACCACGGAACAACAGACTGGTTCAAGATTGGGAAAGGCGTACGGCAAGGCTGCATCCTCTCACCCAACCTTTTTAACTTGTATGCAGAACACATCATGCGAGGATGTGCGGGGCTTGATGAATGCAAAGCTGGGGTGAAAATTGCTGGAAGAAACATTAACAACCTCAGATATGCAGATGACACCACTCTGATGGCCGAAAGCGAGGAGGAGCTGAGGAGCCTTCGAATCAAGGTGAAAGAAGAAAGCGCAAAAGCCGGGTTGCAGCTAAACGTCAAAAAAACCAAGATTATGGCAACAAGAATGATTGACAACTGGAAAATAGAGGGAGAAAACATGGAGGCCGTGACAGACTTTGTATTTCTAGGTGCAAAGATTACTGCAGATGCAGACTGTGGCCAGGAAATCAGAAGACGCTTCCTTCTTGGGAGGAGAGCAATGTCCAGTCTCGATAAAATAGTGAAGAGTAGAGACATCAGACTGGCAACAAAGATCCGCCTAGTCAAAGCCATGGTATTCCCTGTAGTCACCTACGGATGTGAGAGCTGGACCTTAGGGAAGGCTGAGCGAAGGAAGATCGATGCTTTTGAGCTGTGGTGTGGGAGGAAAGTGCTGAGAGTGCCTTGGACTGCGAGAAGATCCAACCAGTCCATCCTCCAGGAAATAAAGCCCGACTGCTCACTGGAGGGAAAGATACTAGAGACAAAGTTGAAGTACTTTGGCCACATCATGAGGAGACAGGAAAGCCTAGAGAAGACAATTATGCTGGGGAAAGTGGAAGGCAAAAGGAAGAGGGGCCGACCAAGGGCAAGATGGATGGATGGCATCCTTGAAGTGACTGGCCTGACCTTGAGGGAGCTGGGGGTGGTAACGGCCGACAGGGAGCTCTGGCGTGGGCTGGTCCATGAGGTCACGAAGAGTCGGAGATGACTGAACGAATGAACAACAATTGAGGTTCTATACTGTTTTAATGTTTAATTTGTAATTATGTGTACTGACTTGTAAACCGCCTTGAGTCGCCAACAAGGCTGAGAAAGGCAGTATAGGAGTATGGTAAATAAATAAATATTGGTGATGTATTGATTTAATGTTAAAACAGTGGTGTCATGGCATCACTGTTTTAACATACTTAAAACTTTATGTATGTTTTGGTCCCTTTTTATCCATGTGAATGTAGTGCCAGAGACTTCACTCCTGTTGTTGTTCATTCGTTTCCAACTCTTTGTGACCTCACGGAGCATCCCACGCCAGAGCTCCCTTTCGGCTGTCACCACCCCCAGCTCCTTCAGGGGCAATCCAGTCACTTCAAGGATGCCATCCATCTATCTTGCCCTTGGTCGGCCCCTCTTCCTTTTTCCTTCCTTTCCCCCAGCATCGTCTTCTCCAAGTTTTCCTTTCTTCTCATGATGTGGCCAAAGTCCTTCATCTTGGACTCTACTATCCTTCCCTCCAATGAGCAGTCAGGCTTTAATGTATTGTGGAAGGCTGGAATCACTGGGTTGTTGTAGGTTTTTTCGGGCTATATGGCCATGGTCTAGAGCCATGATGGTGAACCTATGACACGTGTGTCAGCACTGACACGCGTAACCATTTTTGATGAAACACAGCCGCATGTGGCCGCATACAGAAAAGATGGGGGTGCATCCCAAGAAAGATATTTCATCCTCGTCTCCTACACCAGCATTTTTCTATAATGCCGAGGGATATGACATTATAGAATAAGCAGATAAGTTAAATAATTAGCTTTTGGTTTATTAAATACAGTTATATATGACAATAATATATTTTTGTTATTAAACTATAAATGTCATGAAATTATGTTTTTTTTCTCGAAGTGACACCCCACTTGAGTTATGCTCGGTTTTTTGGCGAGTATTGACACACCAAGCTCAAAAGGTTGCCCATCATTGGTCTAGAGGCATTCTCTCCTGATGTTTCGCCTGCATCTATGGCAAGCATCCTCAGAGGTAGTGAGGTCTGTTGGAACTAGGAAAATGGGATTTATATATCTGTGGAATGACCAGGGTGGGGCCAAGGGCTCTTCTCTGCTGGAGCTAGGGGTGAATGTTTCAACTGACCACCTTCATTAGCATTAGAAGGCCTGGCTGAGCCTGGGGGAATCTTTTGTTGAGAGGTGTTAATCTGTGCCTGGTTGTTTCCTTTCTGCTGTTTTGCTGTTGTAATTTTTGAGTTTTTTTAATACTGGTAGCCAGATTGTGTTCATTTTCATGGTTTCCTCCTTTCTGTTGACATTGCATACATGCTTCTTATGGATTTCAATGGCTTCTCTGTGTAGTCTGACATGGCGGTTGTTGGTGTGGTCCAGCATTTCTGTGTTCTCAAATAATCTGCTGTGTCCAGGCTGGTTCCTCAGGTGCTCTGCTATGGCTGACTTCTCTGGTTGAAGCAGTCTGCAGGGCCTTTCATGTTCCTTGATGTGTCTAGGCAATGCTGCTGCGTTTGGGGGTCCCTCTGGAGCCTTCTTGTCCTCAGCTGCATGGTCTACGGGAGACTCCTGCAGAAGCGAGAGGATCCCTCTTGTCCTTTGCTGAACGGAGCATTTGTTGGATTTTCTTGGTGGGTCTGGAGATAGTTGGTATGTTGTGTTTCCTCATCAGCTTCCCTCTGCGGTCAGTGGTTCCCTTGATGTCTGGCAAGAACCCTTTCCCTCTGGGTGGGTCTCTGTCTTGACTCTCGTGGCTTCTTCTCGGTGGTCTTGCAGCTCTTCTGGTGTCTGAGGTGGAGTCTCCATTGGCCTGGAGAGCCCACTTGAGGGGGTTCAGTCCATCTTGGAGGAGGAGGTGGGCTTCGCAGATTCTTTTGGCACGGTCTGCCAAGGCTTTCATGGGGCTTCTTTTTGGACTTGGGTGATGGTTGGACTTTTGATGCAGATCTCTACCTGTGTGTGTGGGTTTTCTGTAAACGGTGTGACTCAATTGTTGATCTGGTTTGTGGATGACGAGGACATCTAGAAAAGGCTGTCTTCCTTCATTGTCTTTTTCCATGGTGAACTGGACGTTTGGGTGGATGCTGTTGAGATGGTCCAGGAACCTGTTGAGTTCTTCTTCTCCATGGCTGAAGAACCCCCTCAACTGGGCTCTGCAGGCCAATGGAGACAACACCTCAGACATCAGAAGAGCTGCAAGACCAGCGAGAAGAAGCCACGAGAGTGAAGACCAAGATCCACCCAGAGGGAAAGGGTTCCTGCCAGACATCAAGGGAACCACTGACCGCAGAGGGAAGCTGAGGAGGAAACACAACATACCAACTATCTCCAGACCCACCAAGGAAATCCAACCAACACTCCGTTCAGCAAAGGACAAGAGGGATCCTCTCACTTCTGCAGGAGTCTACCGTGTACCATGCAGCTGTGGACAAGTCTACATAGGGACCACCAAACGCAGCAGCATTGCCTAGACACGAGTCAAGGAACAGGAAAGGCACCGCAGACTCCTTCAGCCAGAGAAGTCAGCCATAGCAGAGCACCTGAGGAACCAGCCTGGACACAGCAGATTATTTGAGAACACAGAAATACTGGACCACTCTCAAAACCACCATGTCAGACTACACAGAGAAGCCATTGAAATCCACAAGAAGCATGTGGACAGTTTCAACAGAAAGGAGGAGACCATGAAAATAAACAAAATCTGGCTACCAGTATTAAAAAACTCAAAAATTACAACAGAACAATAGAGAGGAAACAAACAAGGACATCTAATCACCTCAACAAAAGTTTGCTCTAGGCACTGCCAGGCCATCAAATGCTAATCAAGGTGGTCAGTTGAAACATTCACACCTAGCTCCAGCAGACAAGAGTCCTTTGTCCCACCCTGGTCATTCCAGATATATAAACCCCTTTTCCTAGTTCCAACAGACCTCACTACCTCTGAGGATGCTTGCCATAGATGCAGGCGAAACATCAGGAGAGAATGCCTCAATAGGAGGAGAAAAACCCATCAATAAATATTATCTGAGGAAGACACACCACAAACTACACAAACGTCAAAGCAGGATTGAACAGTGTTAAAAATGCAAAGAAAGAGAGAGCATCCGAATGTGTTTATTCGCCTTGGGCAGAGAGAGAGGCCTGGAGGAAGGAGAGAGTCGCTTCCGGACTACAGATCCCAGCATCCCTTGCGGCAGGGAGGCACGTGACAGGCCAATCTACCTCCCAGGCGTCTGACACGCGTCGAAATAGGCCGCGAACGCCATTCCCACGTGCACGGCGCTAGGGCTGCTCCACTTTCGGGTCGGGGCCTTTCTCCTTCCGCTTCGCCGCCTCCAGGAAGAGAGGCTTCCAGATATAGATTCCTCCCGACACACCCAAGATGGCGACCAGGAGCAGCTGCGGGAAGCTCCGCCCACGCCCCATCGCGATTGGTTAGTCTCTCACCGCTTTGATCCTGAACTCTCGCGAGACCTGAGTTTTTACACCCTGATCCTGAACTCTCGCGAGATCTGAGTCTGTACACCTTGATCCTGAACTCTCGCGAGATCTGAGTTTTGAGTCTTAGAAGCTCCGCCCACGCCCCATCGCGATTGGTTAGGCTCTCACCGCTTTGATCCTGAACTCTCGCGAGATCTGAGTTTTTACACCTTGATCCTGAACTCTCGCGAGATCTGTCCCAGCGATGGCGGCAGCGCGTCTCCGGAAGCGGAAGTGCGCTCCTCGCGATCCTGAGGGGGAGCGCCCCAGTCTCGCCCCTACTACGCCGTGGGCAAGGCTGGCCCTCTTCTTGGCGGCGCTGCGGCTCCTGAACTGCTTCCTAGTCCGGACCAGCTTCGTTCCTGACGAGTACTGGCAGGCAATGGAGGTCGCGCACCGGGCCGCCTTCGGATATCCTTCCAGGGGCGGGGCCTAGGTGAGGCGGCCAATGGGAAGCGAGGATACAAAGGGGGCGGGGCCTCAATGGGGTTGCTCCACAAATGAGAACTCAGGGTGGGGAGATGGGCGGATTTTTCAACCAGTGGGAACCTAGGCTGGAAAAGGGGGCGTGGCCGGGATGGAGTGACTTCGCCCATAGGCGAGACTGGAAAGGGGGCGGGGCCATCCGGCCCCGCCCCCTTTCCAGTCTCGCCTATGGGCGAAGTCACTCCATCCCGGCCACGCCCCCTTTTCCAGCCTCGGCTAGAGACTGCAATAGGGGCGGGGCCGAGCTGAGGTTACTCAGCCAATGGGAGCCGAGGCTAGGAAAGGGGCGGGGCCGGGATGGTGTTACTCTGCCCCTGGTGGCGCAGTGGGTTAAAGCCTGTTCTGGCAGGACTGAAGACCGACAGGTCGCAGGTTCGAATCCCGGGAGAGGCGGATGAGCTCCCTCTCTATCGGCTCCAGCTCCTCATGCGGGGACATGAGAGAAGCCTCCCGCAAGGATGACAAAACATCACAAATCATCCGGGCAATGTCCCCTGGGCAACGTCCTTGCAGACGGCCAATTCTCTCACAACAGGAGCAGTTGCTCCTGACACAACAAAAAAAAACCCTCTCCCAATGGGAGCTACTCTGCTGCTGAGTATGATCCCTAGCTTCATCTATGCTGATGATCGTGCCATCACCGCCCAAGCAGGGAGCTTTGAGATGGTAGAACAGAAACTCTCCGAAGCTCTAGGTGCTTTTACTGCCTATTACAGGGAAAACCAGCTGATCCCCAACCCATCTAAAACACAGACATGCGCTTTTCATCTCAAGAGCAGACAAGCATCCCGAGCTCTGAGGATTATGACCTGGGAAGGAAGGAATCCCACTGGAGCATTGCAGCGCACCCACATACCTGGGAGGAGTCACTCTGGAGCGTGCTCTGACCTACAAGAAGCACTGCCTGAACATCAAGCAAAAGGTGGGTGCTAGAAACAACATCATACGAAAGCTGACTGGCACAACCTGGGGATCACAACCAGACACAGTGAAGACATCTGCCCTTGCGCTTTGCTACTCTGCTGCTGAGTACACATGCCCAGTGTGGAGCACATCTCACCACGCTCAAACAGTGGATGTGGCTCTGAATGAGACATGCCGCATGATCACAGGGTGCCTGCGCCCTACACCACTGGAGAAATTACGCTGCTTAGCCGGTATTGCACCACCTGACATCTGCCGGGAAGTAGCAGCTAATAGTGAAAGGACCAAGGCAGAGACATCTCCAGCTCATCCCGTTTGGGTATCAACCAGCACGTCAACGACTTAAATCTAGAAATAGTTTTCTAAGATCTACAGAGACACTCGCTGGAACGCCTCAGCAAGCGAGAGTCCAAAAGTGGCAGGCTCAAACCCAGAACTGATCCCAAATGAGAGACTCCCCCCTGGGCACACAGAAGACGGGGCGACTTGGAAGGCGCTGAACAGACTGCGCTCTGGCACCACGAGATGCAGAGCCAACCTCAAGAAATGGGGCCACAAACTGGAATCCACAACATGCAAGTGCGGAGAAGAAGAGCAAACCACTGACCACCTGCTGCAATGCACCCTGAGCCCTGCCACATGCACAATGGAGGACCTTCTTCTTGCGGCAACACCAGAAGCACTCCAAGAGGCTTGAGATTGGTCAAAGGACATTTAATCAACTACCAAGCTTGCAAACTCTGTGGCTTTTGTATGTTTGTATGTTTATTTGTTCTGTCAAAAATGTAATACAACTGTTTGGTTGCCTGACACGATAAATAAATAAAAATTGAGTCTCAGCCCATTCGTTTTGTGGCACACAACGAAGTTTCTGGAGCAGACAGAACAACTATGTACTTTCAAAGTGAGGAGCACGCAATGAAATATGAAATCACACTTTCAAACCAGGGACAGAAAATGCTTCAAATTTTGTTACATAGTGTTGTTATTATTCAGTGTGTTGAGGCATTCAGTATCTTTTTAGTAGCACCGAGTTCTGATGATGCTAAGTTGCCCTTTGCCTGCAAATGTCCTTGACTTCCTCACATACGGCTTCCTGACCTGGGAGTGGGCCCAGGGCCTACGCAGCGCTCTCTACCCGCTCTTCTTTGCCGGCATCTACAAGGGGCTGGAGCTCGTCGGGAAGGACAGCGTCCACCTCCTGGTGAGTGAGCGAGCGAGTGCACGGAGAAGGGTCCCTGAATGGGGTCATTTCCATAAAAAGGAGAAAAGCATTCCAAAATAGTAAAGCAGCAGTTCAGCAGTTCAGAAGCTTCTAGTGCCAGCAGTAGAGCCTTTGAGTATCAGCAATTCAGCAGCAGAGTCCAGCTTTCAAAGAAGTACATTGTTAAATAGGAAGGTAAACAGGGTCTGATTCATTCACAGTAGACATCCTCGTGTTCTCTCCATGCTCACAGGAGAAGAAGAGGCAATCGGGTAGTGCAGAAGCTCCTAGTGCCAGTAGTAGAGTCATGGTGTATTAGGAATTCAGGAGCAGAGTCCAGCTTTGAAAGAAGTACATTGTTAAATAGGAAGGTAAACAGGGTCTGGTTCATTCACAGTAGACATCCTCATTTTCTCTCCGTGCTCACAGGAGAAGAGAAGAGGCAATCGGGCAGTGCAGAAGCTCCTAGTGCCAGCAGTAGAGTCATGGAGTGTTAGCAATTCAGGAGCAGAGTCCAGCTTTGAAATACCTACATTGTTCAATAAGGAAGTAAACAGGGCCTCACTCACTCACAGCAGATATCTTCTTTCTCTTTCTCCATGCTCACAAGAGAAAACCAAAAGAGGCAGTTCAGAAGCTTCTAATGCCAGCAGTAGAGCCATTGAGTGTTAGCCGTTCAGCAGCAGAGTCCATCTTTGAAAGAACTGCATTATTAAATAGGAAGGTAAACAGAGTCTGACTCACTCACTCACTCATAGCAGACATCCTCTTTCTCTCTCTCTCCATGCTCACAAGAGAAGACCAAAAGAGGCAGTTCAGAAGCTTCTAATGCCAGCAGTAGAGCCATTGAGCAACAGAAATTCAGAAGCAGAGTCCAGCTTTAAAGACTTTAGTGAAATAACACCATATCTAGATAGGAAACTACAACAAGGCCTAGCTACCTAAAGAACTAATTAACTCACAGCAGACATCTTTCCTCTCTCCATGCTCACAGGAGAAGAACAAACTGGACACAGAGGATTGCCATGGGTAAAAAGAGGCATATCTTTTAGAAGTATCAGTCTAACAAGGGAGGGGAGGAAGAGTGGCAGGCAAAAGGGCCAATTGACTTTCCCCTCGCTCATCTGCCTCCCAGTCCTCCTCGATGAGGGCTACAGCCTTGTGCAGGTTGTGCCTAAGTCCTTGCCTCCTGTTTGCAGATCTGGCTCCCTCGTGTCGCCCAGGCTCTGCTGGCGGCGGTGGCCGACGTGAGGCTGTACTCCTTTGCGAAGCGGCTGGACGGCCCTGAAGTGGCCCAGTGGGTGGTGAGTCCCTTCCTCTCTTGTGGCGCGTGGCGTGGGAGGGTCTGTGGAGCAATTTCAGAGACACCCTTGCAAATCTAAATCAGCAGCAATAGTTCAGCAGATTAGAAGGTTCTGGGGTTTAGCAGTAGAGCAAAGGAGAGTCAGGCTTTAAGAGTTGCAAAAGACTGTGTGTGTGTGTACACACCAGGAATATCATCAATCTGTCCAAACATGCATATATATACTGTATGTATGTGTGTGTATATATACAGGCCCAGGCCTGGTCTACCTCATAGGGGTGAAGGCGGTTTCGTTCTGAGAGAGAGATTAACCTCTTCTTCTCTGCCGTGGTTTGCAGGTCTTCTGCCAGCTCTGCTCCTGGTTCACCTGGTACTGCTGCACCCGGACGCTGACCAACGCCACGGAGGCTGCCCTCTGCACCATCGCGCTCTCCTTCTATCCCATGCCGGGCACCAAAGCGGGGAGCAGCAGGTGAGGGGATTATGGTCCAAGGTTCAGGAGGGTTGCCTCGTCATGGCCTCGAGGCTTCCAAGCTCTGATGCGGTGCAGTGCAAGGACAAGTGGGCTTGCAAACAAAGGACCCTCCCTGTAAAATAATAGTAGCATAGTCTACCCGCAGCAACGAAATCCAGGGTCCTACATTGTACATGTGGCCGGGCCCAGGCTAGATCAGGCAGGGAGACTGTTGAGCAGCGGGGTGGACGGTACACCAACAGAACTCCTGTTCTGTCCCAGCCACTCACCCTTAGGTAAACACACTCGAATGGTCGGGGAATTCGCTGAGAGTCAGGGAAAGAGAGAATGCAATTTTTGTATAGACCTGTTGGTATTTTATGACACAGCACTGCAAAATAAAACGACACATCTGCTATCTGTTTGTGCAGGCTGTGAAACCGGCCCCCTCCTGATTACTTAGAGGCTGAGAACTAGCTTTCCTCGCTCGTAGAAAGAATGCAACAACCCCAAACTCCTCTCCTTTCCCAGCGTCCGGTACTTGATCCTGGCAGCTGTGGCTTTCATCATCCGCCCGACAGCGGCCATCTTTTGGGCCCCACTGCTGTTTTGGCACTTCTGGACCGAGACCTCGGAGCGGCGCCTCCGCGTCCTCCTTCTCCGCTGCCTCTCCGCAGGGTGAGTCTGGCCTTTTGGATTGATTTTGTCATTTGGGAGTTGTAGTTGCTCGGATTTATAGTTCACTTACAATCACAGAGCATTCTGAACTTCACCAAAGATGGAATTGAATCAAACTTAGCCCACAGTTCTCCCATGACCCAACAGAAAACACTAGAAGGGTTTGGTGGGCATTGACCTTGAGTTTGGGAGTTGTAGTTCACCTACTCCAGAGAGCACTGTGCACTCAAACAATGATGGATCTGGACCAAACTTCGCCTGAATACTCAATACGCCCAAATGTGGACACTGGTGGAGTTTGGAGACAATAGACCTTGACATTTGGGAGATGCAGTTACTGGGATTTATAGTTCACCTACAATCAAAGAGCATTCTGAACTCTACTAACAATGGAATTCAACCAGTCTTGGCACACAGAATTCCCATGACCAACAGAAAAGTACAAGAAGGATTTGGTGGGCATTGACCTTGAGTTTTGGAGTTGTAGTTTACCTACATCCAGAAAGCACTGTGGATTCAAACAATGATAGAGCTGGGCCAAACTTGGCACAAATACTCAATATGCCCAAATGTGGACATTGGTTGAGTTTGGGGAAAATAGACCTTGACATTTGGGAGTTGTAGTTGCTGGGATGTATAGTTCAGCTACAATCAAAGAGCATTCTGAACCCCACCAACGATAGAATTGGACCAAACTTCCCACACAGAACACTCTTCGCCAACAGAAAATACTTTGTTTTCTGATGGTCTTTGGCGACCCCTCTAATACCCCCTCGTGACCCCCTCAGGGGCCGCGACCCCCAGGTTGAGAAACGTGTATTACACTATGTAGCACAGGGCCCTGACACACAGCCATATAACCCAGAATATCAAGGCAGAAAATCCCACAATGTCTGCTTTGATCTGGGTTATCTGAGTCCACACTGCCATATATTCCAGTTCAGAGAAGGTAATGTGGGATTTTATTCAGCTGTGTGGAAGGGGCTGTTGGCACATGAAAGAAATCAGTTAGTGTGTGTGTGTGAACTGTTAAATAAGATGTACATAGCTGATTGACTATGTCCAGGGAGCTAGCTGAGCCTGGGAGTTTTGGTTACTGTTACATTTTTCAGGCTTGAGCAATGCAGGAGACAAAGAGACAAAGAAAGGAAGAAAGATATAGAAGGAAGGAAGGAGAGAAGGAAATAAAAAAGCAAAAGAAGGAAGGAAAGAGAGGGAAGGAAGGAGAGAAGGAGTGAAAGAGAGAAACAGGTAGAGAAGGAAGAAAGAAGAAGGGAAAGATGAAGGAAAATAAAAAGAGGGAAGGAAGGAGAGAAAGAAAAAGAGAAAGAGGGAAGGTTGGCCACAGCAACACGTGGCGGGGACAGCTAGTCCATATAAATAAAAAAGTAATGTTCGTTTGTGGGGTTAACATAACTCAAAAAGCACTGGACGAATTATTGCCAAATTTGGTCACAAGACACCTACTCACCCAAGGAGTGACCATCACTCAAAAAATATGATTTTGTCATTTGGGAGTTGTAGTTGCTGGGATTTATAGTTCACCTACAATCAAAGAGCATTCTCAACTCCACCAATGATGGAATTGAACCAAAGGTGACACACAGGACTCCCATGACCAATGGAAAACACTAGAAGGGTTTAGTGGGCATTGACCTTGAGTTTGGGAGTTGTAGTTCACCTACATCCAGAGGTCACTGTGGACTCAAACAATGAAGGATCTGGACCAAACTTAGCACAAATATTCCATATGCTGAAACGTGAACACAGATGGAGTTTGGGGGAAATAGACCTTGACATTTGAGAGTTGTAGTTGCTGGGATGTGGATTTTGGTCTCCACACTTTGCATCAAATGGTCAGGGATTCTGCCCGCTTCACTCCAAGGCTCCATTTTCGCCTCCTTCCTTTTCCTTCACAGCCTGGTCACTCTGGGCAGCTCTTTGGTCCTTGACCGGATGTTCTACGGCAAGGTAAGCGCACCTTTGGGAAAGGGTCCGGGCCCCTCCTGACTGATGGGGCCTTGGGGAGAGAGGCTTCCTTACCTGTAGCCTGTGTTTTTTCAAGTGGTCACCTGTGAAATTTGTTTTGGGATTCAAGTCTCATGACAGATTAGAGAGATGGGCCAAAGCTAACAAAATGAAGTTCAACAGTGACAAATGCAAGATACTCCACTTTGGCAGAAAAAACTAAAGGCAAAGAGACAGAACGGGGGACGATGAGGCCTGGCTCAAGAGCAGGACGTGTGGAAAAGATCTTGGAGGCCTCGTGGACAGGAAGGTGAACACGAGCCAGGAATGTGATGTGGCGGCAAAAAAAGCCAATGGGATGTTGGCCTGCATCAAGAGGAGCGTAGAGTCTAGATTCCGCCTTGGTTAGACCACGTTACCTGGAATATTGTGTCCAATTCTGGGCACCACAATTCAAGAGAGATATTGACTCTGTGCTGGAATGTGTCCAGAGGAGGGTGACTCAAATATTCCAGGGTCTGCAGAACAAGCCCTATGAGGAGCGGCTTAAGGAGCTGGGCATGTTTAGCCTGAAGAAGAGAAGGCTGAGAGGAGACATGATGAGGGCCATGTATAAATATGTGAGAGGAAGCCACAGGGAGGAGGAGGGAGCAAGCTTCCTTTCTGCTTCCCTGGAGAGAGACTAGGACGCAATGGAACAATGGCTTCAAACTCCAAGAGAGGAGATTCCACCTGAACATGAGGAAGAGCTTCCTGACTGTGAGAGCCGTTCAGCAGTGGAACTCTCTGCCCCGGAGTGTGGTAGAGGCTCCTTCTTTGGAAGCTTTGAAACAGAGGCTGGATGGCCATCTGTCAGGGGTGCTTTGAATGCAATATTCCTGCTTCTTGGCAGAATGGGGTTGGACTGGAAGATGGCCCAGGAGGTCTCTTCCAACTCTAGGATTCTATGATTCTATGACCCCTCAGACCCCCTCGTGACCCCCTCAGGGGCCGCGACTCCCAGGTTGAGAAACGTGTATTACTATGTAACACACACAGCCATATAACCCAGAATATCAAGGCTTTGATGTGGGTTATCTGAGTCCACACTGCCATATATTCCAGTTCAGAGCAGGTAATGTGGGAAAATAGACCTTGACATTTGGGAGTTGTAGTTGCTGGGATGTATAGTTCACCCATAATCAAAGAGCATTCTGAACCCCACCAATGATAGAATTGGACCAAACTTCCCACACAGAACCCCCATCGCCAACAGAAAATACTGTGTTTTCTGATGGTCTTTAGCGACCCCTCTGACACCCTCTCCTGACCCTCTCAGGGGCCGCGACCCCCAGGTTGAGAGCAGGTAATGTGGGATTTTATTCAGCTGTGTGGAAGGGGGCTGTTGGCGCATGTAAGAAATCATTTAGTGTGTGTGTGAACTGTAAAATAAGATATATTTTACTAGCTAGCTGAGCCTGGGAGTTTTGGTTACTGTTACATTTTTAGGTGCTTACAGAGAGAGAGAGAGAGAGAGAGAGAGAGAGAGAGAGTTTGGAGTGTGCTCTTGCTTCATGAGCTACCGGAGGACGATTTTCCTCATGGACAAAGAAAGGCTGTTTTCAATCTCTCTAAATGGAAATTATTTCTTATTATTGTAAATATGAGCCCCTGGTGGCGCAGTAGGTTTAAACCCTTGTGCCGGCAGGACCGAAGACCGACAGGTTGGAGGTTCGAATCCGGGAGAGCGCGGATGAGCTCCCTGTGTCAGCTCCAGCTCCCCATGCGGGGACACGAGAGAAGCCTCCCACGAGGATAGTAAAATATGAAAAACATCTGGGCAACGTCCTTGCAGATGGTCAATTCTCCCACACCAGAAGGGACTTGGAGTTTTTTAAGTCGCTCTGGACACGACAAAAAATATATTTTGTGATTTTTAAAGAATTTTCTCTAAGAATTTGCACATGTAGGAAATAACCCGAATGTGCAATTCACAGAGACCACGAAGAAGAAGTGGGCTTCTCACCCCTTTGCTCCCTCCCTCCTTCCTTCCTTCCTTCCTTTCTTCCTTCCTTCCTTCCTTCCTTCCTTCCTGCCTGCAGTGGGTCGTGGTCCAGCTGAACTTCCTGCGGTTCAACGTGCTCCAGGGTGCGGCCTCCTTCTACGGCTCCCACCCGTGGCACTGGTACGCCACACAGGGCTTGCCGGCCATCTTGGGGCCCCACCTGCCCCTCTTCCTCCTGGGATGCCTCCGGACCCCGAGGAGGGGCCCCCACCGCCTGCTCCTGGCCCTCATCCTCTGGACGGTGGCCGCTTACAGGTGGGCCTTGCAAGGGGAAGCTGGGGGAGGAAGGGGCAACCCCTCACAGGCAGCCCCTCACAGTGCGCCCTCTTTGCTTGCAGCGCTTTGAGCCACAAGGAGTTCCGCTTCCTCCTCCCGGTGCTGCCCCTCTGCATGCTCTTCTGTGGTAAGTGCTCAGTTTAAATGCACTGTGTAACATCATTGGAACCGTTTCCTGTTCCTGTTTAATTGTGCGGTCCTCACTTTGAAAGTCATTGTTCAACTCCAGAAACTTTGCACTGCTGTGTGTTTTCCAAGCATGTTCCGGAAGCATGCTGCGAAGGGGTCGTTAAACTGCTGCCACCAATTTGGTGATGTGAGGTAATTTTGGGAGATTGGGCACACTAAACGCAGAATTAATGGAGATGAGGCAGTTTTACAATCAAAGAGAACAAGTTTGGTTGCAGTTTGGTGATAAACTTGGAAAATACTTGGGAGAACGTTACATATAACTTGGTTGCGATACAGTTCAGTCTTCTGATGTTACAACTTATAAATAACCTTTGCTGTGGTGAAGCACTTTATTAAACAATGGTTCCTGAGGTGAATAGTCTTCCTGTTTGACCCTTCCGTGATCAAACCTCAGATCTCTAGTTCACTTTTAACTAGTGATCTAAACGAGCTTCTATTAGTCTTCTCTAACTAATAAAACTAATAAGGTTTCCCCTTCAGCCTTCCCGAACTGAAGAAACCTCCAACTATTCACAAACACTGCTTCTCTACTTCCCACTCTCTCTCTCTCTCAACTCTTCACTTCCCTGAGCCTAAACCTAACTCTTCATGACTCTTCACTCCTCTGAGCATAAAACCTAACTCTTCATTCCTCTGAGCCTCAACCCTGACTCTTCAATTCCTCTGAGCATAAAACCTAACTGACTTTTAACTGTCGCTTTTCAAAACTCCCCTCTCTAAGCTCCTCCCACTTCTCTACAGCATTGTTTCCATGGTAACACACTCCTCACAGCTAGGCCGCTCCAGCATTAGCATCGTTTCCATGGTAACACACTCCTCACAGCTAGGCCGCTCCAGCATTAGGGCAACCAGTGCAAACACAAATACAGTTATAATAATATCATTTACAATCAATACAGTTTATAATCATATCATTTACAATCAACTTCTGTACACATGCTCTCCTGACATTTCGCCCACATCTATGGCGGGCATCCTCAGAAGTTGTGAGGTGTATTGGAAACTAAGCAAGGGATGTTTATATATATACCGTATATACTCGAGTATAAGCCGACCCAAATATAAGCTGAGGCACCCAATTTTATCACAAAAAACTAGGAAAACATATTGACTCGAGTATAAGCTGAGGGTGGGAAATGCACCCACTATGGGTCATATTTCAAAATAAAAATAGATACCAATAAAGTTACATTAATCGAGGCATCAATAAGCTAAATGTTTCTGAATATTTACATAAAACTGTAATTTAAGATCAGACTGCCCAACTCTTATTAAACCATTATTCTAACCTCCTTCAATGTAAATGTACTTATTATTAAAATAATAAATATAATAAAAATAATAGAGTAAAATGCAATAAAACAGTAATAATAAAGTAAAATAATAAATGTAGTAATAACAGGGTAAAATGCTGTAAATGTAATAATCATAATAATATAATAATAAATAGGTTAAAATAATAAATGTAATAATAATAATAATAGGGTAAAATACTCTAAATGTAATGATAGAGCAAAATAATAAATAGAATAATAATAGAGTAAAATAATAAATAGAATAATAATAGAGTAAAATAATAAATGTAATAAAATAATACTAATAGCAGAGTAAAAGAGAAGGAAGGGAGGATGAGAAGGACAGAAGGGAATGGTAAAGGAAAGAGAGAAGGAAGGAACGAGGAAAGAGTGGAATAGAAGAATGGAAGGAAAAAGAGAAGGGAGGAAGGGAGGGATGAGGAGGAAGAGAAAGAGAAGGAAAGAAAGACAAGGGGAGGAGAGGAAGGAGAAAGAGGGAGAAGGAGGAAGGAAGGAAAAAGAGAAGGAGGGAGATGAAAGAGAAGGGAAGGAAATAAGGGAGAGAGTAAGGACTCTTAAGGTTGACTATCATTAATGGAAGGAAAAAAGAGAAGGTGGAAGGAGGAGAAAGAGGAAAAGAGAAGGAAAGAAAGACAAGGGAGAAAGAAGGATGGAAGGAAGGGAAGGATAAAGGAAAGAGAGAAGGGAAGACAAAAGGGAAGGATGAAAGGGAGAAAGAAGGATGGAAGGAAGGGAAGGATAAAGGAAAGAGAGAAGGGAAGACAAAAGGGAAGGATGAAAGGGAGAAAGAAGGATGGAAGGAAGGGAAGGATAAAGGAAAGAGAGAAGGGAAGACAAAAGGGAAGGATGAAAGGGAGAAAGAAGGATGGAAGGAAGGGAAGGATAAAGGAAAGAGAGAAGGGAAGACAAAAGGGAAGGATGAAAGAGGAAAAGAGAAGGGGAAGGAAGGGAGGAAAAGGAAAGAGAGAGGAAAGACAAAAGGGAAGGAAGGAAGGATGAAAGGAAGTGGAAGGAAAGGAAGGAGGAAGAGAGAGAAGGAAACATTTACGTTGCGAAGTAATATGGAGGCGACCGGCTTTCTTTAATTTAAGGTAAAGAAATAGAAGACAAAAACAATTGTAAAGGCCGGTAATGTAAGGCCGCTAATTACTTCATTCACTGAACGTGAATGAAGGTCGCAAGATGGAGATGAGTGAGTATTCAGGAAGTCAACCATGTGTCTAATTCCAGTGGATATAGTACATTACCGAAAGTTAATGTGTAATAATGACATAGGACTTCCTGACCTCTTAATGTTTTAATAGAATAATTTTGAATACCAATATAATGAGTAATTATTTGATTTATAACGATAATTAATGAAAGACAAAGGTAGGGTAGGATGTAGATATATTTATAAGTTACTTAATTAACAAAAGTAATGTAATTTAAGCAAATTTAAGGAAAAATTGAAATTGAAGTAAGTGGAGGAGAATGATGTCTTTAATTGAATTATACTTCAAGGAAGGCAAAGAAAGCCAAAGGGGAAGTAATGTAATTAATTCATTAATTATAAATGATTTCGTATATTAAATATGAGTGATGTAATTGAATTAAACAGATAATGAATTGATGTATTATAAGGTACAAAATTGAATTATAAATGAATATCAGCATGAAGTTATTTATTGAAGAGTGATACGAAGATTGTATTTAAAAAATAATATATGTAATTAATTTATTGATAGAATAAATATAGAGTAAATAAAGACAATGTATTTTTAGGTAATTATATATATTATATGTAAGTATGACAACATTATTTAATTTAAACTTTTATGAAAAATTTAATTAAGTAATGTATTAGAATTATTTATTTATGTAACTATAAATTCAAGATAATTGAAATAAAGTACAAATTTTAAGTATTAAGTAAGTGATAACTATTTATATATTGAATTATTAATTAGATGTTGTTTAAGAGTTCAAACTCAATTAATTTTAGATGTGAAATATATAATTATAACTATTAATATTTTGTATGGAGCAGGGGAATGGTATAATTATAGTTTATTATGAAGTTTATTTATAATGAAATATAAATAATAAATACAAAGTGGATGTTGATTAATTATATATATTTAAGTATCTTTAATTGAATTACAAACATTATTTCATTTATAATTAATAGAAAAAGTAATTAATTATTTATTATAATTATTTATTGAATTAATTATAAATTTAACTATAATTGTAAATAACTACAAATTTTAATGAATTATTAATTAATTAATTAATTAATGATAAATATTTATATATTTTAGATTATTGTGAATTAATTAAAATAGAAGTAATATGATTAGAATTACAAAATTTAATTTTAAATTGAATAGTGATAATAATTAACTATTAAATATTTTAATATAAATATTTAATTAAAATAGAATTTTATTAATAAAGTTGTTTATTAAATTTAAATATAATAATAAATACAAATGTTATTTTTATAATTATATATATTTATATATTTAATTGAATTGGCAAAAATTATGTTATGTAATAATTTAATTAAATAATTTAAGTAATTATTTATGAGAATATTTATAATTGTATTATAAAATTAATTTAATGAAATAATACATCATTTTAATAAATTAAGATTAATTAGATTAGAATATTTATATATATTAATTCTTTTATTAATTAATAATATAATTAATTTATTATTAAGACTTGATTTACAAAAATAATTAAATATATAATGTAAGTACCTATTAAAATATTTTTTACTCGTCCCTCATTCATTAAAACTCATAGATTTATTACCTTACATTATTTCTCAAGAGCGCCTTAAGGAAAACAAACTGGAGCTTAGTAATTATATGATATTTATATGTTAAAGTAATGACAAAATTATTTAATTTAACATGTTGAATGAAATATTTCCTTACTTAATTTATTATAGGATTCTTTATTGGACTTGATATAATTAAATATAATGAAATAACTACCAAGTGTAATTCATTAAGTAATTCCTTTAATTAATACTTGCATTAAGTAATAAGGTAATTAATTATTAGAAATAGGTATATATTTAATGATTTAATGTAATTAAAAATATAATTGAGTTTATTATGATAATGACATACTTTCCTGTTAACATTAAATAATATATTCATTAACTATGAAATATTTTAATATAATACATTGATACTAAAACTATAATTTAGTACTTAATTTATTGATAAATTAAAGAGAAAGAAAGAAATACAAATTTAGTTTTATTGTGTGTGATATGTGTGATATATGTACTGTGCGTATTCATTACATTTGTAAATTTTAATTTAAAAATTAATGTAACGTTAGGTATTATATATTATTTATTAATTGTTAATTATCAATTAAATTAAGTAAATAAATACAAATTTTAAGGATTAAGGAAATGTAAGGAAAGTAATTACTTAAGAAGGAATTTAAGAGCTAATGAAATGATGAAATAGTTTTAGAGAGGGAAGGATTTAAGCATTAAAAAGTAATGAATTTTAGGATGATAAGTGACAAAATTTAATTTTTAAAGGAAAGAGAGAAGAATTAACGAGGAAGATTGATATAAATGTGATATGGAAAAATATAGTTATATTAATTATTTATAAATTAAATATAAGAAAATAAAGTACACATTGGATGTGGATTAAGGATATATATTTTAATATGTAGGAATTACAAAAGGTATGGAATGTAAGGAAATGAAGGAAAAATTTAAGGAAGTAAGTGTATAATTATTGATTTAATTGAAAGGGGTAAAGAAGGAAGGAGAAAAGAAAATAAAAAAGTGAATGAAGGAAGGAAGGGGGGGGAGGGGAAGGGGAAGAGGTGGCAAGGGAAGGGAAGTTGAATTAATTAATTATAGTATAATATGTATATATTTAGAATTGATTTATGAATGAAAAAAGATACTTAATGTATTATTCTAAGTGACACCAGGTGATTGTAATTCAATGATAATTAAGGTAGACGATGCAATCTTTTACATTAATAATTGATGTAAAAGCTACCGTGAGGCCTTCCTTAGTGATCTAATGAAAGTCACGAAATACGAACTTTATTTTGATTAGTATATTCGTTCTAGTTAATTACGTCCCAACATATGTGAATGTTACTTTGAATTAAAAGTTCACTGAATGAATTGTATTATAATGTGCTGATTTACTTTAATATAAAATTACATATTCTTACATCACATACCAAGTGTTTAATTGCATGAATTAATTTTAAAATCTTTATATATTTAATATGTGTAATGAATCAAATAGAAGTCCTGTCTTATTCTCATTACCTAATATTCCTTTTGAACTGAACAGAGATATGAAGTAACTATTACCTATTGTAAATAAGAATTGAATGAGAAATATAATTTCATTGCATAAGGGAAGTTGATAAGGAAATAAAATAAAAACTACTCAATTTATTTTTATTAATTGAGCTCCGTGAAAAAATAATAATAGAGTAAAATATTTAATGTAATAATGGAATTAAAATTAATTAATTAAGGTATGGTTAATTAATGTTATTAAATGTAATTATAAATTAAATACTCATTAAATAATACAAATTTTAATGATGAATTAATTAATACTAATTATGACGAATGTAGATTTCATTATTTAATTAGTCAAAATATAAGGAATTTAGTATGTATATACAGTAATTTAATTTTTGAAATTAAATAAAAATAATGAATTAACTATTAAATTTTTTAATATAATAATGTAATTAAAATCAAGGATCAATTCATCTCAATGTGGATAAAGTAAATATGAATTTAAATAAATACAAGATTTATTTTATTAATTAATATCATTATATTCTTTAATTAATTACACAAATATATTTATTTAATAATTTAATTTCAAAATTGAATTAATTAAAGTTTATGATATGTATGTTATTAAGTTTATTATAAATTCAGAGTATAGAGTAAAGTATAATACAAAGTGTATGAATTAAGTAAATGAATTAAGGTGAAATGAAGTATTAATTAATTAATATAATTTATATGTAAGTGATTGAAGGAAAGTAAATAATATAAGTAAATGGATTATTTAATACAAAATTGAATGTTTAAAGGAAAGAGGAAGTAATGAACGATTAAATATTTGAATCGAATAATTTAATTAAAAATATAAGTATAATTAATTTAGGTATAATAATAGTAAATAAGACAAAGTGTGGGGATAAGGATATATAGTGTTATATTGAGGAAGGACAAATTTTTAATTTAAAATTTAAATTTATTAAGCATTAAAAGCACAATTTTCACTGATTGCATGGTAAGGATAAATGAAATAGAAAGTGTAAAGAAAGACAATTTGAAATTAATTAATTAAAATTAAGTAAGTTGGAAATTTTCTAACGAAAGGAGAAACTATAAGTAATTTAGATTATAATATCATAATTTAATTTGTAAATGAAATAATTAAGTAATTAACTTTAAAGTATTTTAATTAATAGATTTCGTTTAAAAAGATAAGTTTATTAATTAGTTTATTTATAGATTAAATATAATAAATGTAAATACAAATTTATTTGTGTAGAATTAGATATATTTATATATTTAATTAATTACATAAAATTATTGATTTAAATAATTTAATTAAAATTTAGGTAATTAAGGTAATTTATAATTATTATGTTAATTTAATTATAAACTTAAATATAATTAAAGTGAATACAAATTTTACATTAATTAATGTAATTAATTGAAATTAAGTATTAATTAATTAGATTAATTTAATTAATAAGTATAAAGATTATATATTTATATTATTTAATTAATTAAAATAGAATTAATGTGTATTATGATAATTACATCAGATTTAATTTTAAATTAAATATATAAGTATTAACTATTACATTTTTAATATAAAATTTAAGTGAATAATATAATTTATTACATTTAATTTATTGATAAATGAAATATAATAAATAAATATAAATGTTTTTTATTAGATTATATATATTTATATATTTCTATTAAGTATTAATTATTAATTTAATAATTAAGTAATAATAATAATAATTATTATTATAATTATTATTTAATATATATGTATAATATTATAATTAATTAATTAATTAATTAATTAATATATGGTTTATTATATTATAATATAATAATAATATATTATTATATAATTATTATATAATATAATATATACTATATTATATTATAATCTAATAATATATTATTATATTATATTATAATAATATATTATTAGAATATAATGATACATTTTATATTGCATGTAATATTACTAATAATATTACAATATAATGGTCTAGTACAATATAGTAATATATAATACTTTTTTAAAATCTCCCTTATCAAAGTTACTTTGAACTCTTACTTACTATTTTCTCAGTTGCCTCTGCAAAACTCCTGCTGTGCTGTTAGGCTTTTGTTTTGCTTATCAAAAGGCTAGCTAGCATTGCCACAGTTTACTTTAATTACTTTCTTATAATTCTTTATGTTTAAGTATAGATGAACATTTAATATTAATTAAAGCCAAATTTTAATAAATTAATTATAACAAATGATGTATATATATTTAATTATTGTAATTAATTAATTTAACAAGTAAAATTATTATGATAATTCCTTTAATTTAACTATAAATTAACGATAAAGGAAAGAGAGAAGGAAGGAAGGATGGAATGAAGGAAGGGGAGAAAGAAAGAAGGACGAAATGGTGGAAGGGAAGGTTGGAAGGAGAAAGATATAATAATAATAATAATAATAATAATAATAATAATAATAATAATAATTGTTATTATTATTAGTATTTATTTGAAACACAACAAGATGAGTCCACAGCAAACAAGATCACTCTGCTGGCTGTTGGATTGGATCCCATGTCGGACCCTTCCCAAGTGTCTAGGACTGTGTGATGTATCGGCGCATAATGCATGCAGATCCCAGTAAGGTGGCCTGCAGCTGTCAGATGGTAATTTTGTCAGCGCCGAATGTGTTTAAGTGCAGGCCAAGGTCTTTAGGCACTGCACCCAGTACCTTTATTATTATTTTACTGACACGAAAACAGAGTATGTCACAGCAAACGAGCTCTATATGCTGGATTTCGTATCACAAAATCACAAGTTGTACACTTCCCAAGCATTTAGGACTGTGTGGTGGGTGTTGTTGTTGTTCTTGGTATTTATTTTCTGCAGAAAGAAGCGGGTTGGACGGGATGCCCGCTGGGGTGTCTTCCATCTGGGATTGTCTTTCCTTCTCCTTTGGCAGGGCATGCGCTGCACGGGCTGCGAAAGGGGAGGAGGAAGGTGGCCGCCGGCGCCCTGCTGGCCTCCAATGCACTGCTGGGTCTCTACCTGGGGCTGGTGCACCAGCGGGGGACCCTGGACCTCATGGCCCACCTGCGGGGCCTCTGCCCTTCTTCCTCCTCGGCTGAGCAGCGGGATCCACCCTCCGTCTTGATGCTGATGCCCTGCCACTCCACCCCCTTCTACAGGTGAGGAGGGTGTAATGAAATTGCTACTCTATATTAAATTTTTGGTGTATAGCTCTATGGTTACATATGGCAGGTAGGGAAGAATAGGCACAGACAGGGTAGCAACAGCAGAGATAGGATTCATTTGCATATGGAAGCCGATTGGTCATATGCAGATTAGCGTAGGCCCAGGATTTGAAAAATGACAGTTGGAGAGAGAGAAGAGCTAAACATTCCAAAGGGGCGGAGCCAAAGTTTAAAAATAGTTAGGAATTGCTGTTTGTGAAGTACAGTTAGGGAGTTAGGGATTCCCGTTTGTGAGAGACAGTTAGGAACTTCTGTGAGAGAAGAGTTAGGAATCTGTGTTTGCAACAAAACACAAATGTAACCACAAGCGTTGGAGCCAGAAGTTATAAATAAACTGTGTTACTTTGTTATACAGAAGTGTGTCTGAGAGAAAAGAGTTAGGAATCTGTGTTGGTTTTTGAGCGCCTGTTAGAAATCAGCAGTTATGAAGATGCGTTAAAGACTTCTGATATAGAGAAGCAGTTAGTTAAATAGATCTCGAGTTTTTTAGGAACATAAAGAAAGCCAGTGGTGCTTTAGTCAAAATATAATTTCAGTCAAGAGTGTGTAAAGCAAGTAACATGTTTGTGAATGTGAAACATTGAAAGTCTATTTCAGAAAAGTAAACCCAAGTATATAATACTGACTGTAAGCCTCAAGATGGCAACAAAACACAAATGTAACCACAAGCGTTGGAGCCAGAAGTTATAAATAAACTGTGTTACTTTGTTATACAGAAGTGTGTCTGAGAGAAAAGTTAGGAATCTGTGTTGGTTTTTGAGTGCCTGTTAGCACGAGTTTTAAGGAACATAAAGAAAGCCAGTGGTGCTTTAGTCAAAATATAATTTCAGTCAAGAGTGTGTAAAGCAAGTAACATGTTTGTGAATGTGAAACATTGAAAGTCTATTTCAGAAAAGTAAACCCAAGTATATAATACTGACTGTAAGCCTCAAGATGGCAACAAAACACAAATGTAACCACAAGCGTTGGAGCCAGAAGTTATAAACAAACTGTGTTACTTTGTTATACAGAAGTGTGTCTGAGAGAAAAGTTAGGAATCTGTGTTGGTTTTTGAGTGCCTGTTAGAAATAAGCAATTAAGAAGATGCGTTAAAGACTTCTGAGAAGCAGTTAGTTAAATAGAGCACGAGTTTTAAGGAACATAAAGAAAGCCAGTGGTGCTTTAGTCAAAATATAATTTCAGTCAAGAGTGTGTAAAGCAAGTAACATGTTTGTGAATGTGAAACATTGAAAGTCTATTTCAGAAAAGTAAACCAAGTATATGATACTGACTGTAAGCCTCAAGATTGCAACAAAACACAAATGTAACCACAAGCGTTGGAGCCAGAAGTTATAAATAAACTGTGTTACTTTGTTATACAGAAGTGTGTATAACGAAGTAACACAGTTTATTTATAACTTTGTACAGTGCCTGTACAAAGGTTAAACAGCACACAAAAAGTCCCAGCCAAGATAAAAGAGGAAACTGAATCAGTATAAGAGCAAAGAGGTTTTTCCTTAAATAAAGAAATAGTCTCCCTCCCTCGCCACAGAGGGGTCCAGGGGCGGGAGGGGAGGGGGCCGAACCTTCCTTGCCTGCCTTCCCTGAGGGCCCCTCTCCCTCTCCTCTTCCAGCCACATTCACTGCCCGCTGCAGATGCGCTTCCTGCAATGCCCCCCGGACCTGGACGGAAGGGCCGACTACCAGGACGAGGCGGACGCCTTCTATGCTGCCCCCCTCCAATGGCTCCAGGCAGAATTTGCAGGAAACTCCTCCTCTGCAACACCCCCGTCACACCTGGCTCTCTTCAGGGGCCTCCAGAAGGTAGGCCATGCACCCCAAGGCCCCACCCAAGGCCTCAGGTGCATTCTAGCTCTGCTCGCAGGTCTGACTTTTGGAAGTGTATTTAACTGTGTTGTGCCCAGAGGGTAATTTTCAATGGTAAACAAACAGTATTTTGCCCCCCCTCCCCCCCAACCAATCACTGATATATATTTTCTGTTCGTCGTGGGAGTTCTGTGTGCCATATTTGGTTCAATTCCATAATCGGTGGAGTTCAGAATGCTCTTTGATTGTAGGTGAACTATACATCCCAGTAACTACAACTCGCATATGTCAAGGTCTATTTTCCCCCCAAGAGCACCCCAGGGCAAAATCAACTCTACTGCGAATGCTTACTTTGCGTAATGGTTGAGCCGCCCCTGGTTGTGCCCCACTGCCGAAAGCAAGAGCGGGACATCCATATTATTATTATTGTCTTGTCTTTACTAATAATATAATATAGCATATTGTATATACATATAATATTTATAATATTAAAATGTAATACAATATAATACTAGTAATAATAATAATACTGCAATATAATGGTATAGTGCAGTGGTTCTCAACCTTCCTAATGCCACGACCCCTTAATACGCTTCCTCATGTTACGGTGACCTCCAACCATAAAATTATTTTCGTTGCTACTTCATAACTCATTTTGCTGATGTTATGAATAGTAACAGATTGGGGAGGGTATTGATTTTGCCCTGGGGGAGTTGTAATTGCTGGGATTTATAGTTCACCTACAATCAAAGAGCATTCTGAACTCCACCAACGATGGAACTGAATCAAACTTGGCACACAGAATTCCCATGACTAACAGAAAATACTGGAAAGGTTTGGTGGGCACTGACGTTGAGTTTTGGGAGTTGTAGTTTACCTACATCCAGAGAGAACTGTAGACTCAAACAATGATGGATCTGGACCAAACTTGGCACGAATTCTCAGTATACCCAAATGTAAACACTAGTACAGTTTGGGGGAAATAGACCTTGACATTTGGGAGTTGTAGTTGCTGGGATTTATAGTTCACCTACAATCACAGAGCAGTCTGAACCCCACCACCGATAGAATTGGACCAAACCTCCCATACAGAACCCCTATGACCACCAGAGTAGGCCACAGCAACGCGTGGCAGGGGACGGCTAGTAAATAAATAAATAAATAATTGGGTTGTTGTAGGTTTTTCCGGGCTATATGGCCATGTTCTAGAGGCATTCTCTCCTGACGTTTCGCC